CCCCAAAACCCCAAAACCCCTTTGTTTACAATCTTAGCAATTTTTAGTGAAAGTTAAAATAAATTGCTAATAATTTTAAATTATATCTACTTTTATTGAATCATAGTTATAGGAATAAAGATAGCCAAATAAGTATCTCATTAAAATAGCTGCTTCTATTATTTCAAATCCTAGCAACAGGCTGCACTGGCTCCTTACATAAAGGGCATTCAAGTTTTCGTTTAGTCCATGTTTGAATGCACTCTGTGTGGAAATAATGTCTTTAATCACAGTTTAACTCTGTAATTTCATCATCGTCCAAGAACTTGTTTAAGCATATTTAACAATCGATCGTGTTATTGTTTCTTTCTTCAATACTCTCAAAGTCTTTATTGTCTAGTGATTTGTTTGTATTCTTAAATGGAAAATTACCAACTAAATTAAGATTTTTCCATGCTCCACTGGCACAAAGATAGAGGACACTTAAAAAACAATAGAGTACGAGTAATAAATGACAAAAGAAGTTAATATATCCAACGGCTATTTGAATCATCATTAGTATCCACATACTCCTGAAATCATCATTATTATCTTTGCATCTTATACTATCACTATTGTAGTGAAAAGTGTTACCATAAATGAGCCAAGCTACCTTGAAATTTTGCATCAACCAGAATTATCTAAAGCCAATCAATTTAACACTGTTTTTTGCCTCTTTTTACTTAATAAATGTGATCAATATTTGTACAAAGTATAAGAAAGAATCTAGTCCAAAACTAGCGCCAACTACAATCAACCAAGTTGAAATAGGAGTATCACAACTAAAATCTGGAGTTCTAAACTTAGTAGCATCCCTCTTACCTATACCAAATCCAAGGCAAATACCAGAAAAAATAGCAACCATTATACAATTAAAAATAGATTTTGCCCTGACTTTTAGTAATTCTTGTTCGCTGTACAAATCAATTCGATGCTAACTCTCTACGTTATTTTTGAATTTTCTATATTTTTGCTATCTAGTTGAAATTCTTCTTAAATTTTCTTAGATGTTTTCCCTAGGAGGTGAGAGATTTAAGCAACTAGAATCTTCGCTGTTTTTATTAAAATTGGTTTGTTCATCTTGAGAGTGGCTCTTAGGGTTCTCTCTCATTTCAATCATATTTTATTGTTTGCTGTAATCAAATTATCTGAGAAGATGTCATTGTTGCTAGTCTTCGTTTCCATTATACATATCTTAATGCTTATTTTCTTCCATTTAATAATTATCAAATATATTTTATATAATGTAGAAAAATAAGTTAATACTATACTAAGGGGTTTTGGGGTTTTGGGGTTTTGGGG